TGTAAAATGGGGATAATAATGTAAAGTTCTTTGAGAGCAACACATGAGAAGCACTATGTAAAAGCCAGGTCTTTTGATTATTACCTTAACTGGAAACCTAGGTTACAGCTACAACTGTCTAAATGGCCATTAACTCCTACCAACAAACATTTCTTCATCTGTTTGAAAAATTATGGAATTAAATGGCAAAACTCTTTGTTAATAGATAGGTAAGGTTGCCCGGTGATAGCTTGTGTCATCCAGAATGTCAAGTTCAGCAAAACTCAAACTTCTAAACAAGAAAATATAGAATTAAGGCAAATGGCCCTGCAACTTTAACTCTGCCTTCTTTGAGCAATGCCTCAGTATACCCATAACACACACATTCCCAGTCTCCCTTTCCACAGGACTGGAGTGATGCTACCTGCACTTGTCCTATGTTTGAAACACCGAGCCTACTCCCAGGACCAAACTTCACATTTGTAAATTTTAACTACCACTTCATAGCCTTTTACAACCCTTCACACATGCACACAAGATAAGATCCAAACCTACACTTTCCCCTCAACATAATTAAATCCACAGACTGCTCTCATGGTCCCTCTCACGACTGACAATACCCACAGCAAGAAGATTCCAGTGCCAAGCTACTGACATAATCCACACAATTCTGTATTGAAATGATGCCAACTGGAACCCTGAAGTACTCATGACCCTCTTTCTTTGATAAACATGCATGGGGGGGTTCAGACAGATCTTCTCACATCACAGCCACAGCTCTCCCCGAAGCTGCTCCAACTTATTCCTTCACCATTCAGTATAGTTATACTTAACATATGGAATGCAGCTGGAGTGCATGCAGAGAACTCCCAGTGGCTATTGTCAGTTCCCAGGGGACAGAGTTAAGATTCCAGGGGCATTAACCTTAACTCTATTTCCTCGTTTTAGAAGTTTCATTGCTGCTGAACATGATGTTTTGGAAGGACATGCGTGATCACTTGGCAACTATAACTCTGTACCAACAAAGTTTTTTGCCATTTAATATATATTCTGTTGGCACATAATAAATGTCATGATCACTTACACCTCAAGAAACCACTAACTTAGTTCTGTGTTAGGATCCTCTTTATTTGTCAACATGAGATTTAGTATAGAATTCTCCCATGTTGGATGCAACATTTCTTAAATTGGGAATCAGTCCTTTATAACGTTTAAGAATACCAAGGATGTTTTAGTACTGGCACAACGCCTGTAGAGTATGTTATTTGCATTGAACTCACCCATGATAAATGCAGATTTTTCCCCTCTATACATTATAAATAGGGGCTCAGGGAGTTGGTCACCCTGTTCTCAAGTGAGAGTTGGCGGTCTTTAACAGACACCAATTAGTATCTCATTGTGCGCTGTATCTGTTATAGATCATAATTCTAAGCATTCAATACAACTCATGATGTACATCCCAAGATGTACAGTGTAATGAATGACTAATTTTGACAATTCTCCTTATTCTGTCAGTTCAAACATCCAATATCAAGCTTTTATTATGCACAAGTAAAGGGGTTAACAGAAAAGTCAGTACAAATAGCAAGAACTTGAAATAAAAAGCACTAGTACAGTCAAAGATCCATCTTAGTGTTAGAACATCTCAGCACATCACAGGTCTTTGTTAACATCACCAGTTCAGCGATTCATAGGCAGAAGAACAAAAATCTTAGACTCAAGAAGGTGCAAACTCTCAATCTAAAGACAATTAGTTATAAAAATCCAAAACATCAAAAGCTAAAACAGAATAAATACTGCAAGAAGAATGCCACAGTTATCCCATTGCAAGTGAGTGAGACTATTTGATCTCAAATAGAAAGTGTTTGGCAAGCTACCAAAGCATCTATACACCAAGTAAATACCAAAGTCACTTGTTATAGCTGCCATAAGGATCAATGCTTTGGAGGAACAGAACTCATCTAGACATTCAGAATGCCACTGACAGTGCTCATATTCTGATGAAAGTAAAATATTCCTGACAGTCATTAACAATGAAAAACCAGGGCCAGCAGACATAGGCTCCCAGTAGTGGGTTTACTACAGTAGCTCAACATGCTACTGAAGAGGGACTGGTTTTAAAACAAGTAGCAGTAGTGTGATCAGAAAGCCATTGAGAGTTGTTTTTGACATGACTAATAAGAGGGAATGATCCTCTTATCCATTAGAGCATTCACTTCCATTGTAATCATCTATTTTTGCATTTTGTTAACTGGCTGGATTGGTTTGTGATTATTGTCTTTGGTGGACATTGTTTTATGTCAGCTTGATTTTCAAGGAAAGGGAAGATGTAACTGTTGCCAGAAATAACAAGCAGTTGCTCACCAGCACTTCTGCCTTGCAAACCTTTATTATAGCCAGTAGATCCACTGGCCCTACCCAGTCTGGGCCACTTCCTTCACACCAGCATGCAAGGAGCCCTGTGGTTCTGAAATCCCCAGCTGGCAAAATGTGTGTAAACCCAGCATGGGCTCTTTAGTGCAGGACAACACTGGTTCTGCCTAAAGGAAAAGGCCCTTAGCACCATCAGAGGAAATGGCATGTCTCTAGGTCTTCGTGTAGCACATAAAGCTTAAGTGCCTTCTCCTCTGAGGAGAAGACTGAGGACAATATGGATATAATCTGAAAAACTGATAAAGTTAAAGCCATTTTAGGAATGAAGTATTGGCTGAAAAATTGTAGTATTCATGGTTTACCAAACATAACAGTGTTAATGTTTATCTGTCATAGCTTTGAAGCTGCAGCTGCTGAAAAAAAAGCTAGAGGTTTCTTACTGCCGCCTCAAGCTATCATTATTATACACGAGAAATTTTTAAGGCTATCCTTATCTATTAATTTTGTTTTAAACTATGCAGTTTTCTGCACTTCCAATTTAACACACCAGTATTCATTTATCACTGTAGGGCATCATGGACAGCTGCAGAGTGAAGATTCAACTGGATATTGGCAGGCTCACACAGAAATGTAATGTTGCCCTGGGATACAGCTACAGTCTAATTTTGCCTGATGAATAAACACTCTAGAGTTTGAGAGTTTGTTTGTTGGTCATTGTGGTTGATCTCTGAAGCAATACCAATGCAAGTCTTTCCTTTATCGCAATCCTTTTCCTTCTTTTACATTTGTATTTCACCTTTAATCTTAAACTAGCCACTGCTATCTAGCTATGGAACTATTATCTGTACTGACTTTGCCATTTTCATTTGGTGGAAGTTGAACTTCAAAATTTTCTTTGCAGAAAGAGAGCTGCCAAGTCTCTCACAGCTTCTATCACGCTACACACATATTCTGTGCTAGTCACAAAAGGCTAATGGCATTTTGGGCTGTATGAGCAGGAGCATTGCCAGCAGATTGAGAAATGTGATCATTCCCCTCTAGCTGGCATTGGTGAGGCCTCATCTGGACTACGGTGTCCAGTTTTGGGCCCCATACTACAAGAAGGATGTGGAAAAATTGGACAGACTCCAGCAGAGGGCAACAGAAATGACTAGGGGGCTGGAGCACATGACTTATGAGGAGAGGCTGAGGGAACTGGGATTGTTTAGTCTGCAGAAGAGAAGAATGAGGGGGGATTTGATAGCTGCATTCAACTACCTGAAATGGGGTTCCAAAGGGGATGGATCTAGACTATTCTCAGTGGCAGCAGATGACAGAACAAGGAGTAATGGTCTCAAGTTGCAGTGGGGGAGGTTTAGGTTGGATCTGAGGAAAAATTTTCACTCGGAGGGTGGTGAAGCACTGGAATGGGTTAACTAGAGAGGTGATGGAATCTCCTTCCTTAGAGGTTTTTACGGTCAGGCTTGACAAAGCCGTGCCTGGGATGAATTAGTTGAGGATTGGTCCTGCTTTGAGCAGGGGGTTGGACTAGATGGCCTCCTGAGGTTCCTTCCAACCCTGATATTCTATGATTCTTCTGGGCTATGAAAGATTTACTTACATGTAGGGTATGTCTACACCAGGAACTAGGAGTGTGAGTCCCAGAGTCAGGAGACATTCTTGGGCTAGCTCTCACTGAACTACTGCCCATATAAAAAGGAGTGCAGCCAAGGCAGCAGCTCAGATTAACTGCCCAAGTACATACCCATGGGGGCCTGGCAGGTATGTAAGCTGGGCAGCTAGCCCCTCACACAAGTAGCTGTGGTATCTTGAGCTGCAGTGAGCTACTTGTGGTATCTTGAGCTACTCACCGTCCACAAGAGATAGCATGAGTATGTATCCTAAAGGGAATGACACCTCCAGTTCCAAGTAGAGACATACTGGTTTTGTTTAATAGTTAAGGGCCCAATATGACCACTCTTGTTCATGCTAAACTCCACTTACTCAAGTGAGCAGGCATTAGGATATCTGGCATTTTTAGATGCTACTCAGTGTGAATCTAGCCCTGAATTAGTAGGAAAGCTCAATTAGTTTTCTAATAAGACTTTTCTGTGGCTTGAAGGTCCTGAATTTCTATGTTATGCATGCTGTCTTTATACAGAAAGTTGATATAGGGGCAGTGGGGTGTGAAAAAAAATAGGTTGTTACAAAGATAAATTGTAAGAGACATAACATATCCAGATGAATTATGAGTTTGCGAACTTCATGAACTTTATAACAATGAGAATTTTCAGTTAAAATGGGGGTGGATGAATAACCTTAATTGTGAAAAACAGCTGGGGTACTAGAATTCCTCTAGTCTATTTCAGCCTGAAGATTTTTAAACTCCTTACAATGATCCATTTCCCTGGTGACTTGTATATCTTTTCCCACTATTCCTCTAATTATCCATATGTTATGGTATATTATATTATTATATTATATAATAATGCATGCAATTAAAAAACACCAACACCAGGAGTCCTTGTGGCACCTTAGAGACTAACAAACTTATTTGGGCATAAGCTTTCGTGGGCTAGAACCCACTTCATCAGATGCATGGAGTGGAAAATACAGTAGCATTTATATATACATAGTACAAGAAAAGATGGGAGTTGCCTTACCAAGTGGGGAGGGTCAGTGCTAAAGGTCAGTGCACAAGGACTCCTCATTGTTTTTGCTGATGCAGACTATCACAGCTACCACTCTGAAACCTGTAATTAAAAGCAGATCATTTAGCACTTGCATAAGTTCAGTTTCTCACAGGGCATTATTTCCCATTCCAAGTGCAAGAAATACCAAAGACAAGATAAATACTTCAATGTGATTGTCAATTTTTGTTAAAGTCATCAAATGTCATGTTTGAGGGTTGCAGAAATAGGAGTCAGTATACTTAAAAATGAAAACTGGACCATATAACCAAGTGCCCTATCCCTGCATTCTAGAATATCGTTCAGCTAGTTATGACTTGGCTGGAATAAAGACTGATCATTTGCCAGCCTTTAATGAGTGGGTGATTTGAGTATCTATTTTAAGGCAACAAATATCACTTATGAATCTTTTTAGAAGATATCAACTCTGTTTTTGTCCAACGATAAGAAATTAAACAAACAAAAATAGCAACCCCTCCACCACCACATTGTTTATAAAAAAAGCAAAGAAAACTTTAAGACATAATGACTCACTAGGAGGCTGGCACCATAACAACCGATTTAAAACAGCTGTTTAAATTTGTTTTATAGATGAAAATGTTTTGACGAATGGCAGAGTTTACATGAGATCTGTGAAAATAAACAGTTTTTTTGGAGTGAACTGAAAAAACCCAACGGTTTTGGAGTATCCCAAAATGAACAATTTTCAATTTGTTGGATGGGAGAGTTAAATTTCATTCAAGCCAAGATGAATATTTTTTGTTTGAAAAAAAAACAAAATATTTTGTTTCATTTGAAGATTTTTTTTAACCTTTGTAAAAATAAAAATGATTTGCTTCTAATAAAAAAACTAAGGGGTTTCTTTCAAAAGTGGAAAAAAGTTTTGACTTGTTTTGTTCAGACAGGGTGGAAAAAATCCATTTGGCAAAATTTGACATGCAGTTGCAGAATGTTTCAGTGGACCTGAATATTCATTTTTCTGTAAAATAAAGTTGAGTCTGAAAAATTATACCCCGTTCTAATTTAGATACAGCAAGTAGCTTGTCAGATGGAGAAGTCAGTAGGTTTGTCCCTAGCAGAGGAAAATGTGAGTAGAGTGTCTCAGAGAGCTCCAGTGTGAGAAAGAGAAAGAGCAACTACAGTACATAAGTGACATGTGTGGGATGTTGGTTGCTGTGTTTCTGTAGGTTTTTACTGTTTAAACCAGACTCACTACAATGGGGAAAAAGAAGCAGCAATAGTTGACTTCAGTACAAATAATCACATGCATAAAGATACATATATACATAATTGCTTTGCAGGACTGGAGCCAAACTGGTCATTTCCTCCCTCCCCCGCCCCACCCCACCCCACCCCAGTATCTCTAGCTGGCATTCTTATGCATTCAATTCACTTGGCATTCCCTGATCGCCTAAAAAGGGCACATTTTTGCTTTGAAAACTAGAACATCATTGCCATCTGAGAAAGGACCCGGTAAGAGCATAAGAACAAAATAATGGACATACTGGGTCAGACCAAAGGTCCATCTAGTTCAGTATCCTGTCTTCCGACAGTGGCCAATGCCAGGTCCCCAGAGGGAATGAACACAACACTTAATCATCAAGTGATCCATCCCCTGTCTCAAACAAAGGCTAGGGACAGAGCAATAAGTCTCTTTGCACAAACTGAAACCACAGTGCTTTCATATTACTGTGCTGTGATGGTAGGTTACTGTATTGTTACATATAGTGTCTTTAACAATGCATGAAACATTGTTATTGAAGAGCAAACTTCACAGCCTTCCACTCAGAAAATGCATACCTGAGTATGTCTTTTAGTGTGTAATGTACACTGACATGCTATGTTAGCAAAGTGATTTATGGTATGTTTACTTTTGCAGTTTTAAAATATGGCAATATATACACATACATTACTACAAATCTTTAAGTGGTACCTTATAAGACATAATTTGCATATAAACATTTATACATTATTATTTTGTATTCCACATGTTAAAATATATTTTATATTGTGACAAAGCTCCAACCTTGTCTCAGTGGAGGATTACGCTAGCCTCAGAGGCTCACTGTGACCCTCCCCATAGCCCTTCTCTCTCTAAAGAGAAGGGTCACAGCCTACTGAGCAATTTTCATCATAAGCCAACAAGCAAGGTGAGGAGAGGTTATCCTCCCTCACACAGTCTCTGTTGTCTCCCAGTCTCAGTGATTAGTCAGGGAGAGAAAGGGGGAGCTCAGGCCCAGCCTGTGCTCCAGGCTCCAGCACAGCCTGATAGTAGCAGCTCTTAGCAGCTAACTTTTTGGAAACAGGACAACTACAATTCCTTGGGCCACTTCCCCACAGCAGCCCACCACTTCCTCAATATCTTCAGCATAGAGGGCCTCCTTTCTTGAGCCTGATAATGTTTGTACTGCTCCATTTCTCCAGCAGCACAACTCCCTTCTACAGCTCCTAACACACCACCCCCTGGGTGTGTGGGAGGCTTTTAACTAGTTTCAGCCAGCTCCTGATCGGCTTCAGGTGTCCCAATCAACCTAGCTGTCTCCACTGCTTTCTGGAAGGATCTTAATTGGCCTCAGGTGTCTTGATTAACCTGGAGCAACTGCCATTTGGTTACCATGGATTTGTTTAGCTGGGGCTAACACACCTGTTTCTCAATACTTTCCTATAGCCATCTGGCCTTGCCCCGTCACAATATTTATCATGCTTATGTAACCCACATACCTACTAGGAAGATATCTCTTTAAGAGGTCTACTAGGAGTGAGTTGTGTCTGGGACACTGTTGCTAGGCAGACGCAAAATTAGCACTCCACATCCAGAAGCTTCTGGAACTGGGCGTTGTAGTTTTGGGTATGCTCAATAGGTCACTGTTGCTGGACTCAGACTCCATAAGGGCAAGCTTGTGTTGACAAAACAGCAGAGGTGTGCATACTGCAGTGCTCCTCCCACTGATTTAACTCTTCTGCTACACTGACATAGTAAAACCACCTCAGTGACAGTCATAGAGATTTTTGCAACGAAGTTAGAGTGATGCAGCGTCAATGTAGACACTGCGCTTGCTTAAGTGACCTCCAGGAAGTGTCCCACAATGCCCAGCATGACCACTTGGGTAAGCAGTTTCTACTCTGCTGCCCTGCAGCCAGCTGCACAGGCATGTGCCCCTCCCCCTTTAAAGCCCTGGGAATTTTTGAAATTCCACTTCCTGTTTGCTCGGTCTGGAGAATTCACATTGCATTTTCCCAGCTGACCATGCTGGTTTTCTTTCAAATGCACTCCCGCCTGGAGTACATCTAGTTGTTGGATCTGCTGGGTCTGTGAAGAGAGGAGACTGCATAGTCACAGGTCCACTCCAGCCATAGGAACTTTGTTACTTACCAGCAGGACATGGAGGTGAAGGGGCATGCAAGGGTTATAAGACATGCCACCTCTACAAGGAACGACCTCATCTCCACTTCCAAGAATCTTGTGGATACTTCAGGGGGACTGGAGACAGTGGCCAGCAGAGTTAACATCAAGGACAAAGTGGTGGATGAAGGAGTGGAGTTGGAGGAGGATGTGGGAAAGGCGACAGGCTCATCTGGGGGCACAGTGTGCCAGGACCTCTTTTTGACTCTGGAGGGGTCTATCAAATCCCAGTACTCCAGCTCTGGAATGCCTCAAGTTACATTTTGTTACATGGTAGAAGTGGGATAAGGGATAGAAATTAACGACACTAGGACTGTTTGCATTTGCTTCTCATTTCCCTGTGCAGCTACACAGTGGGGACTCTGCAGAAAAGCTTGTTAATGCACACCAGGATGTCCCGAGAATCCTCCACAGAGATCTCTAGGAAACTTTCCTGGAGGTACCCTGCAACCCTCTGCTGAAGGTTCCTTGGCAGAGCTGCTTTGTTTCTTCTCTCACTGCACAAAAGACTTTTCCACTCCAACCAGCAATTACTTCCACAGGAACCAAAGTATTTGGACATGGTCCAAAGCCGCACATATGCAAAAGATGCACCCTTGCATGCTCAGTAACCCTCAGGAGTGAGCTATCAGCTTCGATCACCCCCACTTGCGTAAAATGGCACCAGTATTCAGAACAGAGTCCATAGGTGCTTGTAGTTATCCCCTTCTGAAACCACCCAGATCCTTTGTCCCATCTTGCCCCTCCCTCAGTCAGACTCATCATGTTTATGGCTCTCACTATGCTGTGTGCTTGTCAAGGGAAAGTGAGAAAGAGGTGTATGTAACTTTTATGATTCCAGGCTGTGAATTCACTCACAATACTGCCTCTGTTTAGTGTTTCTTTTGCTTCTGAAGATGTGGACCACCTCCTATACTCTGGCGGAGCGTCTCAGAGGCAAATCAGGATTAGTAAGGAGGACATATTTAGAGAAGTGCTCCAATCATCAGATGCTGCAGATATAGAACACAGAGCATGGAGAGAGACAGCCAATGATAAACTCAGAGTGGATAGCCAAGAGAGGGGACAGGGCAGGAGCAGATGATAGAGGGGCAGAAGTGGATGATCAAGCTGAGAGAGCACCAAACAAAGATGCTGAGGTCCCTGATTGTGCTGCAGTCAGAATACATCACTGCTTGACTTCCCCATACAGAACTGTGTTCTGTGCCCGCCCCCCAACTCCCTGCCCCGCCACATTGCTTGCATGTTCCTGGCCCTTCGCACTACCTGTTGCACTCCACCCCAGGGACATCTTTCACCATGACAGATGGACTTACACACAGGTGTGAGAGCCTCTTTTGAGGGAATACTCCTCAGTGTCACGTCCCTTGTAAGAAATGGACACCCGTGTGTTGCTGTTAAAAAAAATCTTATAAATACAATGAATCTTTATTTATGTCCTTCACATGGTGGCTGCTTCTGAAATTCCTACACTGTGGCAATCAGCACATTTGCAAACTACAATTAACGCTCAGGCAGCAATCATTACAAAGGTCATTCAAAGTGGCCAGTAAACAATGCCTGGCTGAATGTATCATAGAAAGACCCATTACAGGGGTTTATTTTCAAAATGCTGCTTCAAAGCCTCCCTGATTCAAATAGCCCCCCATTGAGCCCCTCT